CAGGAAATGGTAGAGAAAGATCTCTTTCAACACAAAATCTAGGCTTAGACGGATAGACTCCAATGGAAGTGTTGGAATCTCTTAAATGTTGAACTAGTTTAGTGACATCAACGATTTGAGAATACGTATCTGTAAGATAACAACGTAACCATGTGAACGAGACGCAGTCATGATGACAATTATGAACCTTAGGAGAATTTCGAGGACGAAATTCCTTTAAGGGGGGAAGAAATGTAATGCTCCAAAATACACCCTAGAATTATTAATAAATAAATAATCAATTAATCAAATTTGTTTTAATTAAGAATAAATGTTTGTTGGGCTTTGGGCCAAAATGAAATATGTTTGAATATTGAATATTAAAATCAGGATAAGTCTCATAGAGATAAATCCAAAATATTGACTAATTATGTGATCTTGATTGGGAACCTGTGTACAGACCCAAATCAAGAATATATGAAGAAATTATTATGATGTGAACTTTGAAATGATTTATTGAAATAAATCATTAGAACAAATTATATGAATTAAATGTGAGAAACCTTTTTGAATAAAGATCAACTAAATCAATTTTGACTCTGTCAAAGTCAAACACCCAAAAATATGATGTCGGAAAAAGTATTACAAATAAATATAAAAATTATATCAATAGATAGAGTTTAACTGCCCGATCACAACGGTGCAAACGGAATTCAATTCGGAGAAAGTTGAACCAAAAAGTCTACCCCAACTGGAACAAAAATTGGTCCCAATCAGGGACACTGTGCGAACAGCGCCTGCGCACTAAGCCGATTGTGAATCTTCCTACGCTCACCAACCAGTGTCTTCTTCTCCCTCAAATCCACTATATAAAGGGAGCTAAGCATTCTCAATTCTTCACCAAAACATATACTTCCTTCTTCTATTCTGTTGCTCAAAGTACGGAGAACGTTGTAGTGCTGTCAATTTGGTGAGAGGTCGCCGGAGTTGGGAGTAATCGTTGCCAGAAGTTTTGCCGGAAAATATTCAAAACCTTCATTTACCTTCGAGGTAAGCCCGTAGATATATCTAATGACTAGAATGTTCGTATAGATCGTTTCTACGTTCATAAACACTCGTTTGGTTGAGTTTTGTGTTTGACATGCTTGAAGAACCAAGAATCATAAACCATGGAATTGATGTTAAAACTATGAATTAATGATGCCAAAATGATCTATGAACCTTGGAGAACATCTCTATATAGTTTCGTTGAAGTTCGATAACTAAAAACGGTATTTCCGAAATTGGACCCAAACGAAGAAGAAGATGAACAGTGGCTGAAACACCACTGTCTGGATCGATCTAGGGTCTTGGATCGATCCCCTGGGAGTGATTTTTCATAGTATGGATCGATCCAGAAGGCTGGATCGATCCCCCGAAGTCCTGATCCGAAAATTTGTCTGAAAATGCTATTTTTGAGCTCTAAAATCCTATTTTTGATATCAATTCATTAGGATCATTATAAAAATGATTTACCACAATAAAAATGATGTTTTTAACAACTAAAAATGTTATGTGTTGCATGACCGTAAGTTCGAGTGTTAACACTCGAAGCTAGGCCGCTATTTGTTATCAATTGTTATGTTAATTGATGATTATGATAAATGAATATTATGGATGATTATCAGTAATGAACCTACTGATTAAAATAAGTATTTATGATTGAATCATGAATAAAATGAATATAGTTATAATTATGAAATGATTTATAGTGTTAAAAATATCTAGAGGAACTCTAAGATATACACATTTAGAGAATTGATGTTAAGGCTATCTAGAAGACCTCTAGAATAGATCTCATATTAGTATGGATTTGTGAAACATGAATATTCGATGAATTAGATAAAAACATATAAACGGGATT